GAGTAACACTGAACAGGAGCACTGAATTACTGAGTCAAGTACAGGAACCAGGAACGGAATGCTTTTCTCTAAACTGCAGTCATTCATTAACCGTATTCTGCGGCATTGCTAGTCTGTCATAAATGTTATATGTTATATGTTGTTATAAATGTTGCTATGTCTGAAGCCCTTGTGTCTATAACTTTCTCTCCCATACCAGTTAGGCTGAGTTATGATATGCATGAGATATTTTATAGTAAAGGTTAAAGGGAAAACTTCATTTCTAAACTTGATCTCCAGTCTTTCTGTGAAGGGTCAAGTTCCTAGATGGATGTGTTGCTCATATACACCTGGATATAATTCCCCTTTTAAAAGCAAATAAACAAACAACATATCTGCTCCCTTGGCTACCAAGAACCAAATCAACATAAAAAAGTATAAAACATCCTTAAACAGCCAGCTCACTAGTTGCAAAGAGTGTGAAGGAAGTGGTCCAAGATTGTCTTAGCCAAAAACATGGTCATGATATATTACCCTGAGCATGCCAGAGAAATGCAAAGTGGGAAAAAAGAAAACAAAGCAAAACAACTGGATTCTTCAATTCTCATCCATGATGTCCTGTTTTTTTAATTGGGATTTTAACCCCCTCTAATGACTATATGTCATAATGAGTTAGTATCAGCTTATTTAAAGAGTTGGAGTCAATCCAAGGAAAATACACAGGACTGCTTCCCTTTCCACCAAAAAAAAAATCATTCATTAACTAATGTTGATGGAAGCACATTTAGCCACAGCAATTTGCATGGCAGTTGAACTGCTGTTTGTATTGAACAGCAAACCAGAGAATAATAAAGCAAAACACAAAACATGCCAATTGTGAGCAAGGGAGCAGAGCAGCCCTTCAGCCTTTTCCATGCCAATCATTTGTTCTAAAGCTGGTCCGAGCCAGTAACAACTAGATTGCTCACTTTCATGAGGTGCACTGATCACATTCAGTTGTCACAGCGTCAGGTCACTTCAAACCATCCAGAAGCCTCACTTATAGTCTCTCAACTTGTGTCTGCTTGCAGCGGAGTAGTCGCTTCTCAGTGATGCCCAGTAGCCATATTTTAACAGCACAGGTTCATAACCCCATTTATCATGCTAACTGCACGTACTTGAACAACACACCTAACAAGTGAGCAATTGCATGGAGGAGTGATGTAGGCAGAAAAGACAGTTTGGGGATCCAAGCTGAATAAAGGTAGAGAGGCAGTACTTAAGGAGGACATGGATATAAAGTCACTGAAGTCCTAGTTGTTGACATCGGAGAACTCCTAAAGTAAGTCAGAGGAATACAAATGTGTGCATTTAAAAAAGTAACAATATAGAAAAGGGTACAGTTAAGTACCGAATGGTACAAGTGAGAGCATAATATGATAGTTAGGGCAGGAAGACAGGAGAGCAAGTCTCTGGCGTGGCCCTAGTTAGGTAAAGGTACTAGGTAACTAGGTAATCTCAGTCCAACCATTTGCCGCCTTTGACCTTCATGTCTTCATTTATTTATTGTAGAATGAAACACTTCACTGTGGAATAGAAAGTTCTTGCCAACTCAAGGTTTTCCAGGTTTGTGAATAAAAGTAGGAGTCTTTAATACAACACATCCCAAGACTTAAAAATGATAGCAATCTGACTAAAGCTAATTTAAGTAAAAGCAAAAAAAAAGAAGTGTTGAAATTCCAGAAGTTATGTGGGTTTCAGGCAAGGGTGGATCTTGTCTCAACCAACTCTTTGCCTATGTAGGTTTTTCTTTCTTCTTTGCCAGCTTCATTGTTGTTCAGACTCCTTCACTGTAGTAGAAAATACAGCCTGGGCAGCACCCGGCTAGTGTAAGCTTGTGGTTTCAGAAGAGGGGGGGGGGGATTCTCTCCTGGTGTCCATGTTAGTGCCTGAAAAAGGATTCCTGCTGATGTTGCTTAGCTTTTATGCTCAGGGAGGTAAGTGGGCTGACCAGCCAGCCAGGGTCATGACCTGCTTTTGTGGCAGGAGAGGTTAGTTAGGCCTCTCACTGAAGGTTTGCACAGTAATCCCATGAGGAGAGGAACAGGAAGTTCTCAAAGGAAAGGGATGTGGCACAGAGAACAAAACAGAAGCAGGTGTCCACTTACCCTCCATATAAACTGGGATGAGGGCTGCTTGCGGGGAGTCAGGAAGGAGGGGGACAGAGAGGAGGTCTACATTTTGAATGCAACTGTAGCAGTTCCTTTGCAGTTGTTTTGCTCAGCTGTCTAAAAGCAAACGCTGCAGTTGGTGTCCACTTTGTTGGGTGAGTGGCATGACATTTATGCGTTTGGAGAAAACTGACAACCTAATTTTTAGATTTCAGTAATTCTGTGAAGTTCTGCTGGTAGACCGATCTTCTTTACATCTTTATTTTATTAAATGTCTGAGTTGAGTTTGGCTATTTAAGTAATCCAGTGCTGATTATTTATCCCCTAAATTTTAGCTGAGGAGTTTGGTGTTTGTCATACCAGGTTGACTCTTGAACAAGATCAGTTTTCTTTAATGGTTGATGAACCCACTATCCATCACTACAGGTCCACTGTACCATTAGACAGTGCAATGAATTACCATAGGCCCAGCTCTGAAATCCTCCTAATATCCAGAAGTAATGGAGCAAAATGGTCAGGTCCACACAGGGGCACAGTAGTGGTCTTATATCCCATAAATACTGAAGAGAGTTGTGCTGAAGACACAATTTCCTGAAACCAGTTGGAGTAGGCATCTGTTATTTTGGCCTGATATCCACCCCTCCTTCTTCTGTTAACAGTACCCTGATTTTGCATTTGGAAACTATTCTTTCTGTTCTTTGTTCAATCCTTCTGGGATTATCAGTGAAAGTGCTCTATTCTTTCCCCTTGCCAAGCAGTAGGCAGGAGATCTAAGCTAGGCTCATTAGCTCTTCCTGTTATGGAATTTCATCTTGAGTGCGGTGACAAAAAGATTAGAAACACCCAGGATAAAGTGCACATTAGTTTATCCCACTCACATCCCTACCCACCCAGGCCAGTTGTTATTATCTCCAGAGTCTGAACTCTCTTTTTCCATGTATCTTACATCCTTCTGAGTACTGGATAACCAAAGCATGCTCAAATTCCATGTATGTAGGTCATGATTCTGTGAATTGGAGTTGCCACTAGGCTCAGCTGGGCAGTTCGTTCTCAACTGGGGCTCTTATCTGAGTCATCTGTAGTAATTTTCAGGTCAGTTGAACAGCTATGCTTCTGGGCATTAGCTGGCTGCCAGTTAGAGCAACCCTTCAGGGTGTCAGAGGTGGGAAGAATCTTGGGCCATGTGGTCTTGTCACCTAGCAGGCTGTCCTGGACTTCATATGGCAGCAACAGAGTTCCAAATTGGAAAGTGAAAGTGCCCAAGCCTTCTTGAACCTGCAACACTGATTGGCACAGGGCTGCTTCTGCTATATTCTATTTAGCAGATCAAGTCAGGAGGCCAGGCCAGACACAAGATGCATGCAAACTCTTGATATTTTAGCTGCAATGTTACAATGCAGATGAGTAAGGATGCAGGAAGAGGAATGATTAAAGGTGCTTTAATCTACCACACCCCAAGTCAGTTTTTACTGTATAGCTAAAGAACCTGATGTGTCAACCAAGAGCCCCTTAAAAATGCAACCTTATACATTGACATACTCCTTTCACTTCATTGATGGAACTCTGAGTAAGGAAGGTTTGGAACCAGTCAGCTCCTCTATGGGATACAGAGCAAAAATTCCCTCTTATGCTTAATCCCAGTGCATTACATCTTGAAGGGGTTGCTTGCCACTCTCTTGCTCTCTTAGCCATGAGGTCTCACCAGCAATTACATCATCTGCCAGGTCTCCTGAAGTATTAATATATTGCCTGCTCAGATTTGACAAGTTATGACAGTGTGACTTGGTTACCTGCTATGTTATTGCTTCCTGCTACACCTAGCATAGCACTTCCTAAAAACATTTACATTTGCCTTTCTGGGAAATACATATACATGCATACACACACACACACACACACATATGTGTGTGTGTGTGTGTGTGTATATATGTATATATATATATATGTATAACTTCTGTAAATTCTATTTTCCTTTATGCAGCACAGTCTCTAAGGCAAATACTAATATTAATGTGTACTGCTGTAGGTGTTTCTTGCCTGTTTCCATCCAAGTTCTGACTCAGCCCACCCTTCTTTAGGTTTGTGAGATCTAATAAGATCATAGCACAGGATGGTGTAGCTGCAGGCAGAAAATTCTGCTTGCCAAATATATTTTCCTTCATAGCAAATTCATAAATTAGTTTAGGGCATTGAGATACCATGGCTACATGCATGCATTTAGACAGAACTCTCTTCAGTTGACTACCTTCCCTTCCAGCCACAAATGTCTCTGAGATGATGCCAAACTCTTGGCTAGAGGTAGCTTCATTGCATCCCACCCTCTCAGTGTGAAATGATAATCAATAGGACTTTACAGCTAAGGTGGTGTTCTACTTCCCTTAATAATACCCTTTGTTCCAGGATGTTTTAATTTGGTTATAAAAATTGACTCTGGAGGTGGAACTTGGCTTGAGAGTGTATTTTAAGAGCAAAGGGTTTGTTTCTAATTTTTTTTTCCAAAAGAAAAAATTTTCTTATTTTAAAATTCTGCATTCCTTTAGAGTTATATAAGCACCCGGCCAAATTCTTAAAATATTGGTGTGATTTTGGATTTCTAATTGAGTTGGTCTTATTCTCTGGTCTCTCCACCAGAGCTAGGACCTCCCAGGGCTTCTCAGCTAGCTTGGGCTTGGCAGGGTCCAGAGCTCTGCACTTCTCATCCGTTGGGATCAGAAGGCAACTCTTTTACTTTTCTCCTCGCCCTTAAACATCAAATTATCTTTCCAGGCAACAGTTACTGGAAACAAAGCTACTGACTGAACTGGGTCTGACAATAAGAGGCAACCCATTTTTACATTGTATTTTGATGGGTATTTTACTTTCTTATTGTAGATCTGCTGGAGGAGACCCACAGAAAAGATGAAGAAATGGAATCTTTGCAGGTACAGTAAATTCTCCAGTAAGGTGTATGTCCTTGGGATAAAAACATGTGTTTTTATTCTGTTAGCCTTTATCATTATCACATCCAGACTACTATGGCAAATGGAGTAAAAAATACACCAGAATGTTGCAGTCTAAGTTGGAATGTGCTTCCTATCAGACGTTCTTAAGAGCATTTGTAATCTCTTAAAGCAGGAAATCAACTCAGCCTCTGTGCTGCTCTTGAAAGAAACATTTATTCCTTGGTATAGCTTAATAGGAACTACAGCATTAGGGAACAAAAGCAAGTCTTTGCAGAGTCATTTTCCGAAACACATGGGTGATGAATGAAGATGAATTCATGGAATCTACAGTTTCAAGTGGAAGTCAAAAGTATTCTGACTCCATGAATGTCATCTACCAATGATCAACCAAGACTACTAACACATATATAGAGCTAAAGACTTACCTCATATGCCTGTCACTTCACTATGGGTTTATATACATTCCTGGAACTGGAAAAGTATATTCGAAAGATTGCAGTAGAATTTTAATTGACATTTCTGTGGTATGTGCAAGTGATGTTAACTTAGTGTCTGAGAGAATTTCTCTCTTTCTTTTGCATTGGGCTAAATTACAAATGGGTAACTAAGTGTCTGTCTTTATTAGGGGAAACATGATCAGTTATACTCCCATGACAGAACCAGTTCACTTAGTATCACATTGGTGATTAAGAAGAGTAAATACTTTGGACATTTAGAGTTCTTCCTGGGCCCAGAGCTGCAAGGGGGGATTGCAGCATATTATAATGGGCCAGTTTGTGCTTTAGGGGTAAAAATGTTTGCTTCTGGAGAGTAAAGGATGTGTCAATCAAAGACCAAAGTGCAAGGGAAATGTTCTATAATTGGGATTCTACTATTGAATGGTGTATCCCTTAAGAGGAAATTGTATAATTCATCTGAAAATGATGAATAAGAATATAGTTCTCTATACTTAATAAAAATGGCATGTGCTACAGAGAAGACAAGTAGTGCCTCTGTGGCATCTTACTACACTGATGGACAGTGATTGCAATGGGCTGTTGTGGGGGTATCTTGATAATATGGGTGAATGTAGTAACCACAGTGTTGCTCATGTGAAACCTTCATAAGATTGTATATCAATGATACTTAATAAAAAAAAATGACATGTGCTAGCCACAATTTTGTACAGATTAAATTCCTTTAACATCTTGAGCTATGTTCAGATATAAAAAGAAAGAACCCTGATTGGTCCATTCTGTGGAGAAAAAAAAATCTCAAGTATATACTCACCCTTTCTATCTTTGAGAAATTAATATCAGAGTTATAAAAAGCTTCTGCATACACTAAATGTATATATTGAGAAGGTAAAAAAAGGCTTTTTGAAGCACTTTGTTTATGGCCTGTGTTTGCTGTTGACCCAGAATACCACATATAAACATATTTATCGAGTATTTGGTATATCTGGCCTTTTGAAATGGCAGAACAAACCTTTTTGAATTTACTTTTCTCACAATACAAATGTTGGAACCAGGAATCCTGTTGAATTTAGTAGCCTATGGTTCTTATCAAATATTTACTAAGTACTGGCAGCATTTTCTACCAAAATGTCCATTGAGTACAACATACTGTGCCAGTCAACTAACTGTGGACATTTGTGGGTGTAAAGTATCCAATGTTATGTCCCACAGTAGAGGAGTTCAGTGCTGGCACTTCAAAGTGGCAATTAGTACGAAATACTAATAACACTCCACCAAGAACAAGGAAGGAACTGACATTGCTAAGATACACAAGAGTGCGGAGACACATCCCAGAAAGCCTTTCATTTTAAGACTAGAGGAATATTCACTGAAAAGTGCCTACCTTCTTGAGTTTCTATAGTCAAATATAAATATACAGATGATAGTCTTGAGAATACTATTGAAGTATATAGGTTGAAGTTCCTACAATCACACTTTTTGAGGAGAAAAAGACAAAATAGTCTCCAAAAGATGATAGCACTGAGGACTGGAGGTTGACAACATTGAGTTTTAAGTTCTGGCTCTGCCTCTGATTCATTCGGTTAACCTTGAATAACTCAATTAACTTTGCTTTGCATATTTTCTCATCTACAATATAAAATCATAAAACTGTCTTCCAGAACTGTTTAGTGTGGGTTAGATTAACCAGAAGGGAGAGATAAATATTTAATTCCAATTTACAATGTTAGCAAATCCGCACATATCCAAAGTGGAGTCAATTTTATTTACTCATTATCATCATATAATTATGTGTAATAGACATTCTGCATTTAATGTTATCCTCCTTAAGGGTAGGGGGTGTTTATTTCTAAACTCTTCCCAGTTTCCTGTAAGTAAAAGGTGTTTCATATACTCATTGAACAAATATTTATTGATCACCAATTATGTGCAAGGCAGTGTACTAAAGGCTAAAGATACAAAAGCAGGCTGCTTTGACTGGATGGGTTCTTGCCCTCTAGTCCAGGATTAGTGGAAACCATATTTAGATGGGTATTTATAATAAAAAATTATAACAAAATGATATTGAAAGGGATGTGTAAGTCACTGTGGGAGCATATATATAATAAAAAATTATAAAATGATATTGGAAGGGATGTATAAGTTACTGTGGGAGCATGTATCAAGAATACCTGTCTTTGGTGGAGATCAAGGTAGGTTTGGGGGAAGGTTTGGGAGTTGAAGATGGGTAGGATGAGCCAGGGTAGACTGGCATTCCAAGTAGTCTTCCCAGAAGAAGTCAGTATTTAAATGATAACCAGGAGCTAGCATTGGCAAGTTTGGAGTGAAGATAAGAAATATTTTCGGCAGTGTGAAGGAGAATGGAAGGCCTGAGGTAAAAGAGCGCATCCATTTCATGTTTGAGGAACTGAAAGAAGTTTAGTACATTGGGATGCAGCATCTTAGAGGTGAGGCAAGCCAAGGGTTTGTAGATTTAACAACAGTCTAAAGTACCTAGGAAAGGAGTTAGGATTTTAGCTTTTGTGTATGAGAAACCAGTCAAGGGTTTGAAACAAGAAAACAATATGATCAAATTTGTATTGTTTAAAGGTAACTGGCTATAAAGTTGAAAATAATTGAAGCCAGGAAGAGCAGTTAAGCAGATACTTGTGAGAATCTTGGCAAAAGATGATGGTGACCTGGATTGGGTGGTAGCAGAGAGCATGAAGAGGAGTGGGTGGTTTCTTAATATATTTTAAGAATATAAAAGTCCATGGAACTTTGAGATTAGTTGTTACGAAATAAAAAGAAAAAGTTAATCACTCTTAGGCTTCTTGATTGGACAATGTTAGGGATGGTTGTTCTAGTCATTGAGATAAGGGGAAGTTGATTGATTTTTGATATATTGAGTTTGGGTGCCATGAAACATTTGGGTGTCAATGTCAAGAGGGTGATTCATACATGAATTTAGAGCTCAGAAGGAGTTTGAATTGGATGTGCAGAATTTGATGTCATAAGATTGGTGTTCATATCATATAGATGATACTAAAAGTCATAGAAGCAATGAGAACTCCCAGGGGAAGTATGAAGAATAAAAAAATAAAAGTTAGACCAGAATCCTAGGGAACATTAACACTTAAGTAACAAGCTAAGGATGAAAATCGTGCAAAGAAGTCTAATACATAAAGCAAATCATTTCAGGGGAGCATAATGTCATGAAACTTAGCCAAGAATATATATATGTATATATATTTTTTGCCGAGAATATTTTAAGGGGGGAAAAAATCAATAAAACTGAACAAGTATTTGTTGCTTGAATCCACTTAGCTAAGAGCTTTAGGTTTTAAAATAAAAATTTATCATACACTAAATTGTAAATTACTATCATACTACGTCTTTCACTTTCCCAAATATCTACTACTTAGCATAGTGCCTCACTATAGCAGATACTCAGTTACTTTTTATTGACCAAATAAACATATGAATGTCACCCTACTGATCTCTTATTTAGCACCTATTTCTTGGTCTCTCTAAAGTCTTCCTGTTAAAAAGCAATTGTGCCTGTCCTAGAGTTTTTTCACTTAAAAAATTTTGAGGACAACTTCCAAATTCTGTCATTCCTGCATGTGCCTGTCCCCCCCCCACACACTTTCATTCTCCTTTTCTCTATTCTGCTCTATTCTTTCCTCTTTGAATGTATTATTGACCTAAAAGGTCAATGAGTGGGTAATTTGGCACAGTGGTAAGAATCACTGGAAAAAGAGAAGGATGAAATGGCAAGGGGGTGGGCAGCAGTGAGGAGAGAGTTTTCAGTGGTCGGAGGTATCACAAACAATGAAGACAGACATATTTGACAGTGATTTTTGCAATGCGGCTGGTAATTACTGAAATTCCTCACTGGAGCTTAACATTGTCTGGCTCATTTTCTGTGTGCGTGACATTCATTTGCAGTTATATTGTGTGCTGCTTTTCTTAAAAATTAAGTGTTGTCCAATGAACCAATAGAAAGAGAAATCAGGAAAACAATTCCATTCCTAGGAATAAAATACCTAGGAATAAACCTAACCAAAGAAGTGAAAGACCTATACTCTGAAAACTACAAGTCACTCTTAAGAGAAATTAAAGGGGACACTAACAAATGGAAACTCATCCCATGCTCATGGCTAGGAAGAATTAATATCGTCAAAATGGCAATCCTGCCCAAAGCAATATACAGATTTGATGCAATCACTCTCAAATTACCAGCAACATTCTTCAATGAACTGGACCAAATAATTCAAAAATTCATATGGAAACACCAAAGACCTCGAATAGCCAAAACAATCCTGAAAAAGAAGAATAAAGTAGGGGGGATCTCACTCCCCAACTTCAAACTCTAATACAAAGCCATAGTAATCAAGACAATTTGGTACTGGCACAAGAACAGAGCCACAGACCAGTGGAACAGATTAGAGACTCCAGTAATTAACCCAAACATATATGGTCAATTAATATTTGATAAAGGAGCCATGGACATACAATGGCAAAATGACAGTCTCTTCAACA